CTTTGTGGTCTCGGGTGAAAGAGTTTGGGGTGACTGCTCAAGGAGAGAAGACATCTGTGATACAGAAATTGAAAGAGTTGGAATGCCGCGACAGAGAGAAAATGGAAGAAAAGAAACACAGAAAAGGAGACCAGGTGATGATCCACTTTCCATGATTTTATTATCTATTAATATTAGAGGATTATGGGGGATTGGTAAAAAAAGGGAGATTCGAGATTTGGTTGCCAAATAGAAAGTGGATGTTTTGTTTATCCAAGAAACTAAAATGGAGAGAGTAGACAAATGTTTATGTAGAATGGTCCGGGATTCTGATAATTTTGAGTGGGCTGCTCAACCTACTAATGGTGCATCAGGAGGAATTTTAATTATATGGAATTCTAATATTTTCAAGAAAATTGGTTGCTTAGAAGGTGCAGGATTCCTAGGAGTAGTGGGGTTTTGGGAGAAGAAAACATCCCTTGCTATTTGGTAAATGTATATTCTCCATGTGATTTGGCGAGTAAGAGAATCTTATGGGAGAATTTATCAAATAAAATCTGTTCCAATAAAGGAAACTGGTGCATAGCTGGAGATTTTAATGCCATTAGAAATCTTCAAGAAAGGAAATGAGGTATAAGTGTAAAGAGGGAGCTGAGGGAATTTAACGAGTTTATTGAGATGAGTGGGTTGGTAGACCTCCCTATGATAGGGAGAAAATTCACCTGGTACCAGCCGAATGGTAATTGCATGAGCCGCTTGGATAGATTCTGATTTTTTGAGGAATGGATGCTTAATTGGACAGATTTGAAGCAATGGGGGTTAACGAGGTCACTGTCAGATAATTGCCCAATACTGGTGAAGGATGAAGCATGTAATTGGGGCCCAAAACCCTTCAAATTTTATAATGTGTGGTTGCTAGATCCAGCATTTAGAGAAATGATAGAGAAACAATGGGACAGCTTTAACATCCAAGGGTGGGGAGGTTTTGTGCTCGAAGAAAAGATGAAACTATTGAAAAATAGTATGAAGGTCTGGACTCGAAATCATGTACAGGTGGTTGACAAACAAATTGAGGAAGCAAAAGAGACAATAGCCAAACTTGATTGTAAAAGGGAAGTACAGCAGCTAAGTGAGGAGGAAGGCATCCTCAAGAGGGATCTAATGCTAACTCTATGGGAAAATATTCAAACAAAAGAAGAAATGGCAAGACAAAAATCAAGGATGACGTGGATGAAGGAAGGAGATGCTAATACAAGCTTCTTCCACCTGTGCATCAAAAATAGATGGAGAAGGAACGAAATTAACTCCCTAGTGGTCAACGAAAAGGTGTCGCAAGAAGTCAATGAGTTGAAACAAGGAGTGGCTAACTACTTCAAGAATTTATTTGCAAAGGATGACTGGAAAAGGCCAGTCTTGGAAGGCATGGAATTTAACAAAATTTTTGAAGCAGAAAAGGAGTTTTTAACTGAACCATTTCTTGAATCAGAGGTCAAAGCAGTTGTATGGAACTGTGACAATGCAAAAGCCCCGGGTCTGGATGGTCTGAGCTTTGGGTTTTTGAAAACAGAATGGGAAGTGGTTAAAAATGATATATTGAAGTTTCTAGCGGACTTCCATATCAACAGTAAGCTGGTAAGGGGTTTCAATTCATCTTTTCTGGTATTGATACCTAAAAAGGAGAACCCACAAGGACTGGAATAGTACAAGCCTATTTCTCTAATAGGTTGCATGTACAAAATCCTCGCTAAAATCCTGGCCAACAGATTGAGTAAAGTGTTGAATGGACTCATAGGTGAACAACAATCAGCATTCATTGGAGGGAGACAACTGGTTGATGGAGTTGTCATTGCAAATGAGACGATAGATGAAATTAGAAAGAAAAAATTGAGCTGTTTCCTTTTCAAGGCCGACTTTGAGAAGGCTTACGACAATGTCAGCTGGGAATTCTTAGATTATATGTTGGATAGGATGAATTTTGGCTTGGTATGGAGGGGATGGATTCGAGAATGCCTGCAAACAAACTCGATATCTGTTTTTCTCAATGGTAGTCCAACAAAAGAGTTTACTATGCGCAGGGGGTTAAGACAAGGGGATCCCTTAGCTCCTTTCCTGTTCCTTATTGTTGCGGAAGGGCTCAATGGTATCATCTCATCAGCAGTTGAAAAAGCACTTTTTGAAGGGGTCCAAATTGGAAGAGGCGATTTGAGGATTTCTCACTTGCAGTTTGTGGATGACACCTTATTAATGGGGAAAGCAATAGAGGAAAATATATGGACCACAAAATGTATTATGCGGGCCTTCGAACTAGTTTCCGGGTTGAAAATAAACTATGGGAAAAGTTCCTTGATTGGAATCAATGTCGATGATCTATGGGAGAAGGAAATGACATGTCTATTGAATTGCAAATCAGGATCTCTACCTTGTAAGTATCTGGGTATCCCTTTGGGAGTAGACCTTAGAAGAATAGCTACATTGAAGCCACTTATCGATACCTTCAAAAGAAAATTGTCTTCATGGAGAAGGCGATTCCTATCCCTTGGAGGAAGAATAACTCTCATTAATGCTGTGCTGACCAGCCTACTGGTGTTCATTATGTCCTTCTATCTCCTCCCAAAGAGCGTCACAGGTGAGTTAGACAAAATTAGGAGAAGATTTTTATGGGGGGGGTGTCGGGGAGAGGAAAAAAGTTGCGTGGGTAGCATGGGAGAATGTATGTAAACATAAGCTCGAAGGGGGTTTGGGTATAAAAAATTTGTCATGTTTTAATATGTCATTACTAGGAAAATGGTGGGGAAGACTGCTCACGAAGAAAGGGGGTTTATGGAGAAGAGTCTTATTTGAAAAATAAGGGAATAAAGAAGGGAATTGGCTATCCTATCTAAAGGAGGGTAGAGGTCGAGGTTCAAGTTGGTGGAGGGACGTTTGCAAAATAGATGAAGGGAATTGGTTGAGCTTAGGATTTGAAGTGAAAATAGGGGATGGCAGATACGCAAAATTCTGGTCGGATGAATGGGTAGGAGGGAGTGCATTAGCTAACAAATTTCCACACTTGTTTATGTTATCCACAGGTGAAAATCACAACGTGAAAGACATGGGAAATTGGATAAATGGAAGCTGGCAATGGAATTTATTATGGAAGCGCCAATTGCGTACGTGGGAGGAAGACTTGGAAACAGATCTTCTGGAGATGCTCAGGACAACTCACCCAATTCAAGATAAAGAAGACCAATGGTGGTGGCAATCGGATCCCTCTGGAAACTACACATCTAAGTCGGCTTATTCTCATCTTTTAAAGGGCGACACCAGGACTATGTTTGACTTCAAAAGGCTGTGGAAGGCCTCCATTCCATCTAAAGTAAGTGCTTTTTGTTGGCAGTTACTTCACAAGAAACTCCCTACAAGAGATAATTTAGCAACTTACGGAATCTTGACTGATCATAACAACCTAAGATGTTGCTGGTGTAATTCATCAATTGAAACACCCGACCACTTGCTTGTTAACTGTAATCTGGCTTCTAGCTTATGGATGAAATGCTACAAGTGGTGGGGCAAGAAATATGTGTTAGGAAATTCATTTATGATGGTTCTGGAACAACACAAGTGGATTGGGGGCCCAAAATCACTAGATTAGATAAAGGATGGAACCTTATTTGGTTTGCAGTAGTATGGACACTATGGCTGGGCAAGAATGACAAGATTTTCAAAGCCAAGGAAGCAAAGGCTGACTACTTTTTTCAACTAGTTCAAACTCGATATTTTTACTGGGCAAAAAATATCGCAGGTCTGGATGGATTCTCCTTAACAAACTGGTGCGAGAATCCAATTAAATGTTTAAAGACCAAAGCCAAAGAGAAAGATAGAGTATGAACTGGATTATCTGGAACTTTACGTTTGTGACGTCTTTGTACAGAAGCCAGTGAAAAACAAACTTTGTAATCAACTGTTTTTGTAAGTAAAGGGTTGGAATACCCCCTGTATTCCAAAATTAATAAATACTTTTGCCTTTCAAAAAAAAAAAAAAAAAGAATATTGACACAAACATTTATTCAAAGTGGAGCATAACTAAGGTTATTTCCTGAAAATAATAGAAGTAATTCTATGATAGAAAACTAAAGAAATTAATAGATCTGAAGTTAGGATGGAAAAATCATGAAAGGAAGGTGTAGGAAACTCAAAGAGGAATTTAGTTGAGCAGTTTATGTGCAAAATAGAGATGTCAACTAAGCCAATCAGAACTCGTCCGATCCCTTCAATAGTATCATATAACACAACAACTTCTACAATACAAGGATTTCTGACACCAGATCTAACAGATCAAATCAAACTAAAAATACTTAAAGAGGATGAAGCAGAAAACTCAAGCCTAAGCTCATGATGCAGGGCAACGGAGTGTCGTATGCAGCGTATATATTTGCAAATAGGAAGGTAAAGGAAGGTAGTGTCAGGCTATACTGTTTTATTAAAAAAACTGTTTTTTGAGGTCCGAACAGTAAATTTACTGAATTATCTTTAATAAAGCTTTTCTTTGTATTATTTTATGAAAAAAAA